TGAGAGGGTTTAGATTCCGTATGTCATGCATTGCGCACGGACTTTGTGTAGAATTGGGTGGGGCTGTTCAGCAGCAACGGTAACATACAAGACAGGTCAGCTGAAAGGCACAAAGCTGGAAAACTGGATGCAAACCATGATCCATCATCGATTTAGGGTTTAAAGCAGGAGTTGGGCAGCGCCGCAAACATGGATGTCTGGAGTAGGAGGTAGAGCATGAGGGTGTCGCCGATGCGTGACAGCAGTAGCTGCAGGGCAGGGTCGGCGCCCGAACAGAGGTAAGGGGCTTGGGCTAGGCAGCAAGTTCCACAGCAAAACACTGCAAGTTGGAGGCATGCATGGCAAATGCTGGCGGAATGGTTCCCGGTTGCTTTGCTCCACTGAAGATGTCACCTGCCAGGCAGGGCTGCAGAGGCTGGCGGTGGTGCTGTTGTGGTGGTACGATTCTGCAGTGGCCATGCCAGGCACGCTGCGGCCGCCACCTGCAGGCGGCGAAAAGGCAATGACGGCAGCAGCAGTGGCAGCATAGGAGGGAGCCTGCAAACAACAGTCGGCACAGCAGATACGGCAGGAGAGCAGAGAGGGGCAGTCTGGGGACAGCCATCTCAGCCGTGCCTGCGGGGCGCTTCCGGCGGTAGCCGTAGCACAGCACGTTGCCGCCGCCGCCGCCCGACTTGTTCTGCCCAGAGGTCAGCAGCGCCTCCACCGCTCGGATCACCAGCTGCACATCAGGGGCGTATGGTGGTCCTCGCATCCCCCGCACGTTGTGGGGGTTGCGTGTCCGGCAGGACGGGGAGCGGGGCCAGGGTGGGGTGACCCTGGGACGCTCAGCTGGGGGGAGGGTGGTCGGAGCCATGGAGAGGGTGCTCCATGGTCCACCCCCTCTCTTGATGCCCCTTGATCACGTGTGCCCCCTGCCCAAGGTCTGCTCACGCGGCCTATCATAGCGGGGTGACTGTAACACCTGAGGGCATCCATCGGGGGCTTGCCGCCATCAACGACAAACAAACATGCAACACACAGGGTAGAGCAGCAGGGCCGTCGTCCCAATGGGCACCCCGGTCGCTTGCCTGGCTCTGGCTGGAGCCCTGGGACAGGGTGAAGCCTTCACGCAGCTGGGGGCACCCCGGCCGCAGCACGCACCAGGTGCTCTAGCAGGGCCTGAACGGACAGGCAAACGGGACGGCAGGGCGTGGGGCACTCAAATCGGCATGGGGATGGCTGAGGCCCACGGACAGCTATAATGGGCATTGCAGCAAGCTGCGACCGTGCAGCACCCAGATGCCAGGCCCTTAGCCAGGGCACTCGGCTCCCACCTGTGCATAGTCACTGTGGTCGCATGGGAGCACCAGCGCCGCCACCAGGGCGGCCGCCTCTCTCGACTGCCCGCTCAGCCTCAGCAGCAGCTCCCGCAGGCACACCACGTTGCCCTCGCCGTACAGCCGCTGCAGCAGGGGCGGGGGACCCGCTGGGGCCCGTGATCGGCGAGGCGGCATCCCTCCTCGCTGCCCGCTGGGACGCTGGGGACCCCTGCTATGACATACCAGCTGGCCCTGGCATTGAAAACAGATGCAAAAGGCCCCAGTTTGTGGAGCCGCCCCTGCGCTGCGCATGCTGGGGCGGGGCAGAGCGGGAGGCTCCGCTTCCCATCCGCCTCCCCACCTC